TAGATTTGCAAGATCGAGGTGGCTGTTCTCTTTGGGGACGAATTTTGTTTCTAATACTAGACGGAACATGTTGTTTTATTCTATCCTCCAATCTTTGGGTAGTGTGTCCTACGTAACCAGAATCACACTGGCACGTAAATTCATATACAAGGGAACTTTTTTGTGTGGCAGGAACGCAATCCTTTTGAATGGACGGAAGGGACTTTTTCGTACTATAAACAATAAGTGGGTTGACTGCAAAGAAACAATTTGTAATGGCCTGTTTTATTTGACTTTCAAAACGCAGGGAACTGTCACCGATCCAGGGTAGTTTTAGATAGACCGGGCACTTTTGAGGACCAAATTTTACGTAGGCCGAGAAATTTCCTATCTTCTCCTTAATGTAAACTGAAATAACATCCACTGGATAGCCATTCTCCAGAAAGATCTTAGTTAGTTTTTCAAGTTCCGAGTCGAATTTAGACTTGGAACAAATCACCAGTGCCCTATGTGTAAGCGTTTTGATGAGGCTGATTTTTCTTTGTTTTGGGCAAAACGAACTCAATCGAGTGTATATCCCTGAAAATGTGGGTTTACGGTATACACAGTGAGAAATCCAGTGCCAGATTTTTTAACCAAAACATCTAGAAATGGCAAGGAGTTATTTTCTTTCTTTTCAAAAGTAAACTTTAGGGCTGTGTGAAGGCCAGTAATGCGTTTTAGGAAAGTATCACACACAGCCTCTGTTTTGAAAATGGTATATGTGTCGTCCACATACCGAAAATAGACACATGGCTTTTGGTCGTAGTCAAACAAACGCTCTTCATGAAAGCCAACAAAGATATTGGCCAAGGCAGGTCCCAGAGGGCTACCCATAGCGACACCATCCTTTTGTTGGTACATTTCATTGTACTGAATTCGACTCTACTGAACGTGTTGCAATTTCCATCAGTTCAATGAATACTTCCTCTGGGAATGGTGGGCTATTAAGCTCGCTTCGGTACAAAGCGTCGGCACATATGTTGATGGTCTCACTCAAAGGAACATTTGTGAAAAGACTACTAATGTCGAAAGAACACATGAAAGATGTTTCGTTTTCGATGTTAAGGGTTTGCATGAAATCAGCGAACGTAAAAGAATCCTTGAAGAAATGTTTTGAATATTTTTGAAGAGCAGGGTCCAAAACTTCAGAAAGCCAGTTCGTGTTGTGCTGAGCCAATCATAGACTAGCCTGCGCGCAGACCCAGTATTCTGAAGAAGAAAGGTTCTGCGCAACAACGACCAAAAGCTTGCTACACACTTTGTAAAATTAACTATGAGAGTTCTTAATTTATGCATAAATTATGCAATCCAACCCAGCCGAGTCTTCTTCAGAATACTGTGTCTGCGCGCAGACTAATCATAGACAAGATTTAAGTGGGACATTCGGCTGGTGTATTTTAGGGAGGTCAAGAATTTTGGTCGTTGAGAGCCCGCGGGTCTTATCCTATCGTAAACTTCGTTGGTCAACACGTTTGAGTTAACCAGCTCCAAAAGGCGTTTTTGAAGTTTCCGCTCAAGCTGGGCCGTTTTATCCTGTGTTTTTCGAACTTATCTTTGTCGAGGAGAATATTCTCCATTTTTTGGATGTAGTCCTTTTTATTCGAAATAACCACTCTTGACCCTTTATCAGGCTTATTGATAAAGATGTCATTATTAGACCGTAGAGGTTTTAATGCTTGAAAATGTTCTTTTTGCAAAAGAAAATATGAGTGGTCGATAGGAGAGCCGCTGTAGGTGTACACAAAATCGCTTAGTCGTGCTCGTAATTTGTTAGATTCCAAAGCATCAGAAATATCGTGCCTGGCAAGTTGAGCGTTTAAAATTTCGAATTCAGCAAAAAGTTCCTCTCTGTTTATTCGTTGTGGTGGGATACAAAACTCAAGACCATTACCCAAGACAAATGTTTCGGTTTCAGAGAGAGAATAGTCCGACAAATTAGAAATATGTTTTTTTCGAATCACTCATCAAACCGCCAAAACGTTTCCTAACTAGCATACCAATGTTCCTATCATGTTTTTCCGTAGTCTGTTTTAGTGTCCGCTGGTCAGTTTCAGAAATGTAGCGGCAAAGTCGAAAATTATCAAAGAATTTGATAAACGGACGCGTCTTAGACCACTGTCGTGTATATAAACGTTTTAGATTCAGGATATTGGTTTTAGTTTTCTGAATTTCATCTTGTAGAAAAGCGCGCTCAATGGTTGGGCTGTGTCTAACACTAGACTTAGAAATACGAGCGGTATTAAATTTTGACTCAAATAATAATGACTAACAACAACAACAACAACAACAGCGGCAAAAACAACAACAACAGCCGGGCAGAAAAGGCGGGAGAAAAAAAAGGGTGCAGGTTGAGTGGATATTTTGGTACAATTGATGTAACTGAGTGACAGATATGTGGTACAGAGACTAAAGATAGTGAGAATTATTCCTGCACGGCTTTTTAACTACGAAAAATCTTTTTGGTCAACTGTCATATCCCGAGCTTTGATATCATTTATGCGGGGAAAACTTCTTATGCAAGTTATTGCTGTTATTGTTGGCAACAGGATGGTACTAGAAGCTATAATTTCTTTCCTTATACAAAAATACAATCCCGTCGTTTTACACAGCGACTTATGATCAGAAGCAGCATTCGTTATCTAATGTTTAGATCATTGTATTTTCTTTCATTTTTGCAGTTGCTAAATGAAGTAGTGTATATTGTATGTTTGAAGAGAACATCATTATGCGATCAAAACTTACTCGCATATTTGCCATTCCATATGACTTCTGTTAAGCTTTGGAGGAGATAGAATATCGCATTTGTTCAAAATAAAGCAGAACGATATATTTCATACTGGACTCCAACTGACTTACACAATGACTCACTGAAATATGAAAACCTATATGTTTATCTACAAAGGGTTACATGAGCTAAAGCTTCTGCGCATTATATGCTATTACAACACTGAATTGCACAAACTTCCTAAGATTTTTGTCGAAAATTAAAGATCTATTGAAAGAGTGCCATAAATCGCGACCGTCAAAGCTGTTGGACACAATTTAACTTTGCTGTCTACGATGCCGATATTAAAATGGAAACACATATTGCCGACGATTAGCGATCATCACAAACTTATTTTGCTTCCCTATTTATAGTCATGTGGCTTAAATCGGCCAGTCACATGATCAACCTTTTCGAATGGGTTCGCTGTTCTGACCTGAAAGGAGTTATGAAATTGCATTTGCAGAGTGTCGCCGTCATAGAATCTTTCATTGGTAATAATTTCGATTTTCTGCTTACCTTCCGATAGATGGTCGAGTATCGTGCTGGCTTTTGGTTTTTCGGATGTTCGACACGTTCAGAGAAAGTTTGTTTGCTTGCAGCCAACCTAAAGGCTCATAAGATCTATATTCAAGCTATTTGTATTCCATTAACATGCTTTTAAAAAGAGAGAGAGCAAGGAAAATAATTGGTATAAATTAAAAACAAAAGTGGACCAAGTCAAGTGCCTTGAGGAACTTTCATGTCATGTCTCAGGCCGGTCACCCTAAACATTCTGATTTTTTAATAGGATTTCAAAATCATTAGTGTCTAAAGCCTTCTTCAAGTCAATGTAAAGTACCAATCAGTAGTGGCAGCCATAAGGACTGTTGACGCTGAGTGTAAAAGTCGAAAATCAGATTGATACTCAGGCCCTGTTCACACGATAGCGGGTTCATTACATATCGGATTCATTGACCAAATCCGATACGAATATCAAGGTCTGTTCACACGATACCGGATTTATTTCGTATCGGATTTACTTCTATTCACACAGTGATGCTACGCTTTAACACTGCTCCGAGAAATCTATTGCCTTGAAGCAGTTGCATAGCACGCTGTTTTGTTTTGAAGAAAAAGTATTTTTAAATAAGTTTTTAAACAATCTAATTTTCCTTTGCATTAATCTTGTGAAGTTCATCATCATTGTAAGGAGCATATTTGTTGTTTAATTAGGACCCACTGTCACTTTGTATCTTGAACAGACTGTCAACCTGTTTTTAAAAACCCCGAAAACGAAACTATCTTTTCGAAACAGAGATTCCGGAGCGAAACCATATTGGATTAATGCGCTCCGTTCCCACGAGCGCAAAAGTTATTCGATATGATTCCATTCCACATTCACAGCGGAATTGTTTGACTCCGCAAAAATGATACGGAGCGTATCGGATTCAAGCGTCATCGTGTGAATAGAAGGCTCTATTCACACGATGACGCTTGAATATATATGAATAATTATGAAAAGTGATCCGATACGTGTGAACAGTAGCCAAGATGTGAAAGAAAGAACTAATATTTGCCTATAGTTTGACTAGGAGGGGGACAAGGGAGCAAATTGCTGCAGGGCTTCGAGGTCTCATAAAGTTCCAGTCTAGGGATACAGTTAATCAGATGAAGCTACAGCAAGATTGTAGTGCTATCAAAATAACAAGGGGTGCTTTTGCACAAAACGCTGCGAAAACAATAGCAAAAGTAGAAATTGGCTACTTTTCGGCATTAAAAAGGGGGGCTCAGCCTACCTGAGGGCCCCCAGCACTACACTTCTGAGCTACAGTATGCCTAGAAATAGTAAAGATTTTAATACGATTGCAATAAATGAACAATGATTTGCTCCAATGATTGACTATCGAAACCTCTGGGCGATCCTATACATCTGACAGAAGTAGATTAGCTTCTCTGAAAATTGCTAGAATTGTTAGTGGCTAATATGATCAATCAAAGTTGAAATATTTATTAAGAACCTAATTGTTTTTTTTCAGTTGCTTCGTACCAAAAAGTCGTACTGCTTACATAACTGCACATTATAGAAGTAACTAGTTTGTACTTTGACAGAAATGAGAACCAAATCTTAATCCTCTTAAAAATGTTTTTGGCTAGTCTATTGTTGAAAGAGTAATGCTAAGAATTTGCTGATATGGTTTTGAGCTTTACTGAATTCATCCTGTCTGGGCGTTTCTAAATGCATTGTTCAGAAATACAGCATTTAAGAAACCCCTTTTGTCCCTGTCACAGAACACGAATCCTACGAAGCTGAAAGGTTGGTCAGTTGAAGAGATCTGCAAACATTATTCTTCAGGTCAGATTTGTTCTGCTTTGAGTAGAAATTTTGTAAAAGATAAACTATCAAGCTAAGTTTAGGTAAAAAATAAAGCTAAATTTCTTTTCATGCAATGTTTATGATTGCTGATAAAGTTTTTTTTTCAACCCAAATTACCTCAGGGAAGGAAGGCAAACTGCTTATTCATTCTGAATGCTTTTATCTTACCACATCTCTAATGTTTTAATTCAAGCATCTTAATAACTAACTGCTAAAAGAAGCGCTCTTCAGTCGAACGATAGTCCGTATCTGCTTGATTAAGGCTAGCACATTCGTTACAAAGCTCAAGGCGAAACAATGCAGCAAAGGGCGTGTTTGTAACTGCATATCACATCTACAGACAAGGAAAAAACGAATGAAAGCAACGACGAAAATGACTAAAATCGGTCAGATATGGCTCTTCAAGAGGGTTTGTAATGAATGATTGAAAGAAACAAAAAACAATAAGGTTGCTATTGTACGTTGCTATTGTTTCTCCTTGAACTTTAATTGCTGGCTTTCATCTAACATTCCACAAAACATTTAACGGATTGAATCCACCTTTTATGAATGAAATATTTTCCATTAATGAATGCCCATATTACTTAAGAAACTCCCAATTCAAAACAGCGGAGCCACATTACAAAATATATGGATTTAATACCGTATCATACAGATGTAGCCAAATATAAAACTCAGTTCCAAATGAGATAAAGTACTCCCCTACTTTATCAATATTCAAGAAACAAATTTCAGAATTTATATCATTTAATTGTACTTGTAATCTTTGTAAGGAATATGTTAGCAACATCGGTTATATTTGATTTATATTATATTCAGCGTTGGTAATTTAAATTAGTTGGTTTAAATTAGCTTAGCTGAAAATTGTACCAACTTTAAATAAAGAAAGAAACAAAAATTATCTTTTCGCATGTTGGCTCGAATGTTGGTCGTTTGGCCACCATGTGGGGTCACCCAACATTGTTGAGAGATGTTGGGTGAAATGTTGGATCAATTTGAAACTGGTCAAAAATGTTGGCGGCTGTTGGATGGTGATTAAAATAATCCCCATTACTCAAGGTGTTGTTGGGCCTTGTTGGGTTGCCCAACATTTGTTGGCTTCACGCAAGCGCGGTAAACAATTTTTATATGTGAATGGCGCTGCGCGCCAAGTTTGGGTTTTGTGAGGCAGAGATCAAAATTGAAAGAAGAAGAGCGTAGACTTGATTTGGACGACTGAGGAAAATTGGATAATGGAAGAGTACGAAGAAAGAGATTTAGTGAGTAAAGATGAGTACGACGAGACCGTAGAGGAAATAAATAAACATACCTATATACATACTTGATAGTATCAATATACCTTGATAGTATCATCCTTGAAACATACCTATATACATACTTGATAGTATCAATAAATTATCAAGAAAGATGGCCAGTTTCTGGTTTTCCAAATTCTTCCATTAAATACAACTAGTATGATAATGTGAAGTTTTATGTAGAATGTAGAAGACTTAAAAAACTTGGAAAATTTACATAGTACGACAAATACATGTATGATCTATATAGGGGCTCATATTAAAAGTTTGTTTGGGGGTGTCAAGACAATGTAAATTTTGACAATTTTGTAAAAGAAATTAGTTCTCACATTTGTATTCAAATTATCCAATGGGCTTTAGATTTTATCAGTTGAACAGACACCCGGCCTTAGAATAAATTGCTGGAAATGATACCCGGAAAGACGCGCACATTCCGTCAGCAAAATATACTAAGTACCCCCCCCCCTCCCCCGGGCTGAAGAGACATGAAGAAGGCAGAGGGTTGATCAGCATAGAACACTGTGTCCGTGGAGAGGAGACTAGCTTGAGTTTGTACGTAATGAAGTCCGGGGAAAAGCTAATTCAGGCGGTTTGTTTATCAGGGATGATAGAGACAGAAGGTACTATCAGCATGAGCGAATTCAAACGACAGAAGACTCAGGAACTGAAAGAAAAATGGAAGGGTAAAAGAATGTATGGAAAGTTCATCAGGGAAACGCCAGAGAAGGTAGATATGGACAAAACCTGGAATTGGCTAGTCAGAAGTGATTCAAAGTTTGAAACAGAAGCGTTGTTGTGTTTTGCACAGGAACAAGCGATCAGAACAAATTATGTGAAGCACTACATTGATAAGAGTATTGACAGTTCCCTTTGTAGATTGTGTGGAAAAATAGGAGAAAGTGTGCAAGACATAATAAGTGGATGTGAGAAGTTAGCTCAGAAAGAATACAAGAGACATCATGATAATGTTGCAAAGAAAATTCATTGGGAACTGTGCAAGAAGAATGCATTAGAACATAAGGGGAAATGGTATGAACATAAGCCAGAAGGAACTGCTGAAAATGACGGTGTAAAATTGCTTTGGGATATAAACATACAGTGCGACAATGTGATAGAGGCAAGGAGACCAGACATAATAATTAATTGATAAATAGGACAAAAAATGTATAATGGTTGATATCGCAATACCGGCGGATGGAAGAGTACATGGAAAAGACTGCATCGTTCAATTGTTCTAGTCATTCACAATTCTTTGTGTGAAAAATGTTCTGCATATGTTTAAGTTTCACATTTCTTAAATAGTTTCGACTTGTGTCCTCTTGTGTCATTCTGGTTCAATTAGAAGAGCAGGGATGGATCAGTATCCATAAAGCCATTTAACAGCTTTAATATCATTTCACCGCGTTTTCTTTTGTTATTAAAGTGAAGATAAGTCTAATGTTCTTAGTCAATTGTCGTATGAACCGACTTTGATTTTATTTACTAGATTTGTGGAACGATGTTATACACTTTAACTTAATAATTTTCTTTATTTAATGATCATGTATACAAGTTAAAGTGTACAACCTTGTACACTTTAACCAGCATTTTAACTTGTTTAGTTAGATTAAGGCTTGATAAAGCTCCAGCCTTCTCCAGTAATGTTCGAACTAAACTCCTGTATAAGGTTAGGAATACTTCTTTGTTGATGAATTCGATGGTTCGTTTTATTGATGCAAGGATTCCATTTGCCTCTTTACACGTTCAGCAACTTGTTTATCAAATTTAAGCTTATTATTAACGGTAACAGCAAGGTCTTTTACATCGGTGGCTTTTGAGATGCCGATATCACAATGTTTCTTCTTTTCATCATGAAGATCATATCTCGTTAAAATATCTGTTTGGTTGCCAAGATAAAGCACATGATATTTGTTTGTGTTTAGTGAAGGATGCTACTGTTTCGACCATTTTCAAATATTTGATATGTCAGACTGGATTTCGACTTTGTTTCCGGTGTCATATGCGTTTCGGTAACCTTATGCAAAAGTGTAACATTGTAAAACGCAATGTGTTTCAAATCATGTGATTTCATCGTAGTGCGATATTATGACACGTTATAAATAACAAATTGAACACAATGCTTTTTTGAGTTTAAAATTTCACATTTTTCAATCAAAAAAACTTTGGAGTCGCCATTAATGTTTTACTTTTTTGTATAAACTTAACAAGGGAAATCACAGCACTGCTTCTTGTTAGTACCCCTTGTTAGAAATAGTTTGATTGTTCTTTACGTTCTGAAAAATATAAACAAGAACATTTGTGTTCCAAGACCGGTTCGCATGCTAAATTCCACTATTCGTTTCGGTTTCCTGTTTTTTAAAAGCTTGGGTACGTTTTTGTATAAGAAAAATTGCCATGCGTTTGTGTACCGGGACCATTTTGCATGCTAAATTCCACCATTCGTTTTGGTACCCTATTATTTAAGTGCTTTGGTACGTTTTTGTATAAACAAAATTGCCATGCGTTTGTGTGCCCGGACCGTTTTGCACGCTAAATTTTACCATTCGTTTTAGTACTCTATTGTTTAAGTGCTTGGGTACGATTTTGCATAACCAAAATTGCCATGCGTTTGAGCACCCGGACCGAAATGCATAAGGTTACCGAAACGCATATGACACCGGCACAAAAGGTTTCAAATCATCAGCAAACGTTTTCACTTTGCAATTATTAAAGTATATTGCGAATAGTAACGGGCCTAATACTATCAACTATCTTCTGCAATCACTCAAACAACTTTTTCTTCTGGTAAGGTTTCAGAGGAGATGCATTTCTCAAGGTCTGTTCTATGGGTGGTTTTATGACGACACAACGAATATAAAATTGGTTTGGCAACTTTCTAGAAATTGATTAAAAATGGTGGGTTTCAGAGGGCCAGAAGGTCACAGTTATTGTTCATTAACTGAAATATGGTTCAAAATCCGAATATACCGAAATTAGTATTTTGTTTTATTACAGTTTTGACATAATTACTATTTAATTACCATAGCAAAGCATAAGATAATACACAAAAAAGATTCGGCAAAATCGAGAACTTTGAACCAGTTATATAAATGAACAAATATAATTTCAAAACAAGGCCTGTGAGCTCGAATTTTTTAAAGCAGCAAAGTCATTTGTTAGGAAGAGTTGACCAGGGGTTTAATCACTTCGAGACCGTTGATGACTGTTGTCAAAATAAGGGCTAAATCTTCAAAAAATTTAGTGATTTCTCGTGTTGCCATGGCTATTTTGGCAAAGGAGGAATTGGTTTGACGGAGGAGCTTCCTCCTTAAAACATGAAATCCTTTTAGCCAAAAAAAATTATTGAAGCACAGCATATCTGGTTGAGTTAGATGTACTTAAAAAATAACAAAGCTATGCTTGAGCAACCAATCGATCCAGGCAAAATTTTTCCCATGTCTCAAGAATTTATATGAATTGAGATTTTGGCAAGATTAAGTATTTCTGATCCATTTCAACATTGTTGACAGCTGACAGCCAAATACGAAGCTTAGTAACAGAATAATTATGCTTCCAGGCATTGGCAATCAATTTTTTCTCCATTGTTCATCATTTTATTTAACTGCTGTTCCATTCAAATAGATCTTCAGAATCTCCAGGACGGAGGGTTGCCTCATTCAATTGAAGATTTTTGCTCACTTGTCTCTCCAACAGTTACTCATGCATTCAAAGAAGTAAATTGCTCCAACTAAGAATTATGTTGTCTTTCTTTCGCAAGGTGGCCATAGAAGTGGGTCAGAGAAGATGTTTTTAAAGGTACTGTTGGCGATAGGCTGTTGCAGTGCCCTAGCACGTACGTTGTTTCTGTTTTCAATGTCATCGTTTGTATATCAACTCATTATGATGTATAACAAAATTTTCTTTGAATATATACGCTCATTTTTTATAAGAAACAAAAGTCGATGTTGAGTACTCCAGTTTCTTGATGTTCTGGAATACTCATTGTTTCTTAAGAGTTTCTTTATTATGATTCATGAATGATGTTATGAATGATGACCTTTTCATAACGTCAAGAAATTCGCTTCCGTTCTGATGCTGTATTTTGATGTGGGAAGTATATATTCATCCCTTGTGTCTTAAATTCTAGGCCAACACGGCAATCATGTTCTTGGATTTTAGCAAATTTCGTTGTTCTCAGTTTTATCACGATTTAATAGTTTCTTAATTTTATTGCTTCGAGTACTTAAGTTTCTTAATTTTTCCTGACTGTCCAGTACTCGTTTCTTATGGCCAGTTTCTTATAAAAAAATGAGTGTATTCAGAGATGGCACGAAATAGCGGAATCATAGTATACTGAAGCATTTTTTGTCCGACACCCTTCAGATAAAGTGTCTGATAATGACCAAAAGTAAACAAGCTTTTGTAAAGACGAGTTTTTTAACTGTATTGATTCAGAAGGCATTTTTTGGATATGCGCTGATCGGAAATTGCAGTAATGCAGCTTGTTTTTAAATACCTTGGATTTAGGCATATTCTTATTGCCTGGCATGAGTCACAGCACAGTAAGCATTATAGTTAAAACTGACCATTTCTCTCTATTTGCTCTCTAAAAATATTTGCATTCTAAAATCTCTATTTGCTCTCTAACAATCCTTTGCTCTCCAGTTACTTACTTTTCTTTCTAGAACAACAATTCTGTAGGTTTCCTTTATATGTTAAAAAGATTAAAGAAAGGGTAGGATAAGAAATGTATGATTTTTGGACTCAGATTGCTGCTCTGTTGAAATGTGATGGCGGCTTTAGCTATGCAGCTACCGCTATTAATATGACTCCAACGGACAACTTCTTGTAACCAATTAAACAAGAAGCAATAGACAGATCTTTTAGTTGCGATTTCTTGAAAAGAAACCCAGCTAACTGATTATATGATATAAATTGATTTTACACAAAGATTGCATGAAACAGCGGATTTCTACCCCGTTGATGAATAGCTATAATGTGCAATTTAACATATTTAGATTCTATAGCCCTTAACGAGTTTTCAGGTTTGCAGTTAGAGCTATCGCTTCTTTCTTTCCTTTTTAGTTGGCTCATCTCATTGGAGCTACAGTGGAATAAATGGTAAGCTACTATATTGGACTGTATTCTGTATTGCGAATCAGCTAAACCCTTTAGGATACCCAGGAGCTGTAAGAATATTGTATCCAATCTTTAAAGGCAATGATGCATAAATAGACAGTGCTTTTAATACCTGGAGTCTTTTTATCACTTTTACTTTCACTTCAAACAGATTTTACGCCAATTCATTCAAGGTCTCAGGAAAATTAGCTTAGGCTAATGCAAAAAAATATATCTAAAGCTTTAACCAATATTTAACTGTGTTTTATATTCTTCTGAGGTCCAAGCCATTGGGCAGAAGAATACCCTAATTGTGGAAAAAGCCGGCAATCACCCATCAATATAGTAACGAGGAGGACATTGTATCGGCGAAGAAGACTTGAAAATAACTATGATGAGATGCCTTCAGATCTCAGGTTCTCATTGGCAAACAATGGACATTCTGCTCAAGTCACACTAAGCAACACCGGAAACCTTCATCTTCACGTTTTTGGTAAGTTTATTTGACAATGAAGACAAATATACAAAATATCAATAAAAAAATTTGAATATTGGGTGAAATTCCAAACTTTCGACATGCCAATCTTCCCAAATTTGTATTCTCATTTCCAACCGCTAGAACTACAATAGTTTCTTTTGGAACTTTTTATGCAAACATGTAATTTACCTATTATGTTATGGTATTTTCTTACGATTAATGCTTTTGTGCCTTTTTTATCATATTGCAGATTAAAACGATAGATAAAAAATAATTGATACTAATTGAGGATGGAACATTTGGCTTGGTATCGCGTAATGAGTTCTCTATTTCTTACAATTATTACTAAAAGTCAATCTTTGAGGCCAACAACTGCTACGAATATCTTCTTACACAACATATATTCACGCTTTGAAAACATAAAGATAAATATGATTGACGTAATCCAAAGTATCCTATGTTTTCAAAAATTAAGCTTTACTTTCGTGGCTTTGTTTTAACAGCTAATTATCTTACGGATAAGGTTACATTGACCATAGGGGTAGGCAAAAATTGACAAATTTCATTTTAAACGTTTTAACTGTTTGTGCTAACTGTTTGACCACCCTAGAAATTGTTTTCACTAGAATCTAGGGAATGAATACTGATCGCAGATGAAATCTTGTGTCACCAAAAGAACATGGAGACAGTAGAACTTCAAATGGAAATCTGAAGGTCATTGACGTAGATAACACATAGATTTCCTAAGCAAGAGTCTTTTAGCATATCCATCTAGAAATCTTTCAATCATAAAACCATATCATCTTATACTTGCTTTCGATCACCAAAACAAACTACTTTCTCAGCTATGGATTTTCTTTGTTATTGTTGTTGCTGTTGTTAAAGCTCTGGGCTGACTCCAATGTTTAATCTCGATAATATCATATGCATAGGTCAGACGTTCAAGCCTCTTCAAGTTCATTTTCATTGGGGAAGCAACAACCGCCGTGGCTCGGAACACACGCGTGACCGTCGAAGATATCCAGGCGAGGTACGTCAAAGACAGGCTGCCTCGGTGGATTACGTCTTTCCTTTGGCTTGTCTTGTCTTGTCTTGTCTTGTCTTGTCTTGTCTTGTCTTGTCTTGTCTTGTCTTGTCTTGTCTTGTCTTGTCTTGTCTTGTCTTGTCTTGTCTTGTCTTGTCTTGTTATGTCTTTCTTTTCTTGTCTTGTCTTGTCTTTTCTTGTCTTTTCTTGTCTTTTCTTGTCTTTTCTTGTCTTTTCTTGTCTTGTCTTGTCTTGTCTTTGGGTTTTTTTCTTGTTTTTTCTTGTCTTTTCTTGTCTTGCCTTTTTGTCTTGCCCTTTGGTCTTTTCTTGTCTTCCTTTTCTTGTCTTGTTTTGTCTTGTCTTGTCTTGTCTTGCCTTGTCTTGTCTTGTCTTGTCTTGTCTTGTTATGTCTTGTCTTGTCTTGTCTTGTCTTGTCTTGTCTTGTCTTGTCTTGTCTTGTCTCGAGTGTTTTGGGGTAGGATGAGACAAAGCAAACTATTTGGTTACGCCCTTTTACTGTATAAAAACACGTCCTTTGATCAACAGGGAACGCCAATTTTATCAATAGGAAACGGCCATGGCTAACTTTGCCTGTTTAAAAACAGATTTACGATGACATCACCAAGAAAAGGTTGCCAAAACATAACCCCTTCCCCAAAGTTTTCTCGTAGGATTCAGACGAAATGCAACTTCGATCCTGCTGAGAACAGGGGGAAGTATCCCCTCAGTTCTTCCCGCTGTGGCACCTCGGTTGGTCTACAGGCTACTAGAATTGAGGAAACTTTTGCAAAAATATGTTGCAGGTGGTTGACTTTGTATGGAATCTATAAACTCATGGTTTTCAGGCCGTCGTTAAAACAAAGCAACAAAATATCCACAGTCCTATTTTCCTTCCTCTTTCACCTTCTCCTTTCTTTTAAAGCCTAGTACTATATTGAATGTTATGTAACATCGTGTTAAGTTCAGATATATGATTTGAAACTTACTTTAACAATCTGAAATGTTCTGAACAACTCACCTGTTCTACCGGCTCGTATAATATCCACCCAGAGGATGATATGATGTCATTGGTCTTGAGATCTGACTTCTCGTTATTCAACAACTTACAATTGCCCTCAGACAGTAGTTTGTTGAATGCGAAAGACTTGCACAGTGTGTTCTTGGTGCATCCCCTTGCACAATGTCGCACTTGAAGCTCCGTTGTCAATGATATGATATGCGATGAGCTGGACGTTACAGTCAAGTCACTGTACTTTCCTTTGAACAATGCTTCATTGCGGCAACTAATGCGTAAGAATTTTTGCAGGCCAAAAGCAATAGGTATCGTGAGAAAAATTATGCATATTGCACCTCTGTTCACCATTTCTAAAATGGTATCTTTGATAAAAATGAGATGTGTATCAGATGAAATGTTACAAATTCTTGCGTCACTTTCTTTGGCTTATCGTGTCAATGTCACCTGTTGGAATTAAGTTCGGATAGATAAAAAAAATGATTTTCTCAAAAACCAGATAAAAATTATGATTCATATCTCTGAGTTAAAACCATATATATTTCTTATCTTGAGCCCTGGAATGAAGAGAGACAAGAGAGTATAAAAATAAGCCTTTATTTCCGCCAAAGTTTTCGTTCGACAGTCCTCAGAGTGAAAAAGTCGGATAATGACTAAAGGTCTTTTAAGAGAAGAAGTCTTTTTCTTTGCCAGTCAAACAAATATATTAAGGCATTCCACCGCGTTGTAGAGTACATTTAAATTGAAAACTTTATATGAACGCTTTCACTAGCAGATGCTTAAGAGATTCGAAGGGCAGAAATAGGAACCACAGATGTGTCAATTTTTGCTAAATAATGAGAGATCTGCCTTTGNGACGTAATCCAAAGTATCCTATGTTTTCAAAAATTAAGCTTTACTTTCGTGGCTTTGTTTTAACAGCTAATTATCTTACGGATAAGGTTACATTGACCAAAGGGGTAGGCAAAAATTGACAAATTTCATTTTAAACGTTTTAACTGTTTGTGCTAACTGTTTGACCACCCTAGAAATTGTTTTCACTAGAATCTAGGGAATGAATACTGATCGCAGATGAAATCTTGTGTCACCAAAAGAACATGGAGACAGTAGAACTTCAAATGGAAATCTGAAGGTCATTGACGTAGATAACACATAGATTTCCTAAGCAAGAGTCTTTTAGCATATCCATCTAGAAATCTTTCAATCATAGAACCATATCATCTTATACTTGCTTTCGATCACCAAAACAAACTACTTTCTCAGCTATGGATTTTCTTTGTTATTGTTGTTGCTGTTGTTAAAGCTCTGGGCTGACTCCAATGTTTAATCTCGATAATATCATATGCATAGGTCAGACGTTCAAGCCTCTTCAAGTTCATTTTCATTGGGGAAGCAACAACCGCCGTGGCTCGGAACACACGCGTGACCGTCGAAGATATCCAGGCGAGGTACGTCAAAGACAGGCTGCCTCGGTGGATTACGTCTTTCCTTTGGCTTGTCTTGTCTTGTCTTGTCTTGTCTTGTCTTGTCTTGTCTTGTCTTGTTTTTAGACAAACGGTAAACCGTGTCCTCCATTCTACTCCATTTATGGTAATCACGTGTATTACTACACATTCAGCACATTCAGCACAATCCAGATAACAACCACAGACAACGGATGAAAAAACGTGTAAAAAGGTGATGTTTTTCATCAATGTAAAATCCTTTCATTGTGATTACTGCAGATGCATTTCGTGCATATGAATGCTAAATATGGAACAGCAAAAGAGGCAAAGAAGCACAGGGATGGCCTTCTTGTGCTTGGTAGCTTCATATCAGTAAGTACTCTTCTTGACTTCAGTTGCTCTATATTTGAGAGCATTTTAATATGGAAAAAGTTGTGAAATTTCAAACTGATAGGATGCTTTCATTGATTTTAGGAATAGTTTAAATAACATTTGAATGGTCATATGGTTGTAAACGTAAGAGAACTTAAACACCTCTCATGAAATGCTCTAAAAGTATTGATCTATTTCCATTATACAACAGACATGACGTAAAGTTACTTTTTTGAAGCCTACCTGGATATGAGAGCAAATAGGGAGAAGATTTGCATTTCGCTTAAATAAAATTGGAGAATAATGTGCTTCTTGGTTCGGATAACTCACTCTTGATACAAAAAGCTTTCTGATATCTACCAGCTTTTATTTCAACCACCAATTTTAACAATGTTTATTGTATGCTTTAGATTGACGACTTTGAAAATGAAGATTTGCTACCAATATTCAATTCTCTGGATCAAATCAAAAAGCAAGGTACCAGAAAAAACAAACTATCTTCTAATTGAACGCCAGTTACCGGGATTTATCGCCAATAATGAAACTATTCGCCAATAATTCCTGTGTCTGTCTACTCACGTTTCATAAATTGATTCTAGGACAAAAAACGGAAATATATAAACTGGATCTCAATTGCCTGATGCCTTCTGATACAAGTAAATTCTTTTTTTACGATGGATCTTTGACTACGCCCGGTTGTAACCAAGCCGTCAAATGGATTGTGTTCAGAAATACTGTCCCACTTTGCCAGAGTCAGGTCAGTTACCATACTGTTTGACTATAGTGACACAAATCTACGTTCCTGTTATGCTGAATACAATACACATTCCTGTTAAACTTTCATATTTTAGGCACAAATCTCATACCTAGGAGGCTTGAGGCTTATTTAGATCTTTGCAAAATATTTTTAGAAGCATTGTCCAATTCAATGTTTGAGTCATTCTGAAGTAAGGTGACGAGAATATCAGACCATAGCCAGCAAGAAAGAGAGTCACAGAGCATCACTTTCTGTTTTAACTGGATGAAAATGTTCAACTGACTACATTTGGATAAAATCTGTCAATAAAGTAGCTCATTGCTGATACTCACTTCGAGCAGCATACATTAGTTAAAGAGTAAAATTATTGGAAATATGAAAAATGAACAAGGTGAATTTGGCAGTATCCTCTAAATCTGAATAAAAGCTTTTTTCGATTCATGCCATTAAAGAATGCCATTTTGCCATTTTTGGTTCGATGCTCTTTAGCATGTTATTGTGCCTTCTATGTTTTTTGCTGCTTTGAAAGTTCAAGTCTTTGACAAGGTTTGCCATAAACCTCAAATCATTGATGCTGCTATTTTCATCTCAAGCTTTTTGTCACAAAATCTTTAGATTATTCTCTTTATTTATCATGCAATAAAATTATCTTTATTCATCAAGATCAACAGTCTGAGAGTATTAAAATACAAGGGATCACACGGAGCAAGCAAAAGGATTGTCAACAATTATCGTCCAATACAGCGTCTAAATGGTCGAAGAGTGTACCGTACATTCCATTTGTCATGTTATTGATAGTGGGATTCTTTTTCAAGACTTTATCAAGAACCTACAAAAAGTTCTTCGGGTTAATGCTTATGCATAATGTCTGTTTACAAACTTTCTTTGCATTATTGAACTGCAAAAAGGGGAATAAGGTTTAACTACTCTTTGATTCTTTTCTTTAAATTCACATTACTGGGGTACCCAATGTCTGTTTTTTGGATGTAATCTTTATTCAACTTTAATCTTTGACAAGGAAAGACAGATGTTTCGCTATGAGAGTGAATAATGGCCAATTTACTGGATGGTTATCCTTTCTTGGTAGGGGATCTTTGAAGGACCTTTTGCATGTAGGGATTTTACGCAAAGGGCATTATTCTTACTTTGACACCACTGAGGAAAAAACATTAACAAGGACCCGAGGATGCACCATTGACATTGACCATAATCTTTAAAGTTACAAATGAATAAAAAATACGTTGAAACCTACCCATGTCAACGCAAACAATGAGTGAGTGAAAAAAACTGAAACCACATTTCAAAAAGTTTCAAAGGACAGCGTGGATTCATGAGCCAACTTGTTGGAAAGCTTCAGGAATTGGGGCCTATCGGAAATTTCTTCATTAATTTTAATGTTAAAGCATCCTCTGTCACTAAAATAATTGCGCTATAATTACTTCATGCATCGTCTTATTAGACCTTAAAAATCCCCTTTCTTACTACGAGCTAGAGAAGCCGCAAGTATTGAAGTGGATTGGTGACATCATTTACTTCTATTGCATCTTTGCAACTGCAGGTTGGGCTAGGATACGCTTATTAGGCACAAGCATGTTGCTAATGCATATTGATAAAAATCGTTGGAATTGTTCGGAAAATTTTCGTCATGGCAAAGCGGTAAAGATGATGGGTGAAGGGGGAGTTGTCAAGTATTAAATTCTTTGTTACTATTGTCACTGTGTTTTACAAGTATTAAACGATGAGCACATCATGTGTTTCTTAAAGAGGTCTACAACAATCAGAAGTAAGTGTAAGAGTTTTAGAGATATAGGAGTAGCTTAACTGGGTATTCAACTTATCAAAATATCTTTTACCAAACATGTGCTATTGGTAATACAAGGTCATCTTCAGCTAGCGTAGTCGAGACTAAGTTACCATACCATATACCGGCAAATGCCTAAACCAAGCCGAATGAAGATCTTCTTGCCAGGGGTGGCGCTAGAGACAAACCTTCAAGGTGCCGAAGTTTATATTCTCCGTAACTGCCGACGCTGGGTGTGTCAAATTGCCGACAGAAAAAAAATTCGATTTGCCCCATATAGCAGGCAGGGCCGTCGCGAGGCAAGCCTCGTTGACAAACCAAACAAACCTCTGCAATACATTTTGTCAATATAACTCTGTATGATAATAACCGACTTTCCTAATAGTTTTGTCAAATCTCTATATCGGGACGGGCAAAATATATAGTTACTACCTGAGGCGGCACCATGGTTGCCGCCGAAGGGGCAGGAAATTTTCGAATCATGATGCTTCTAGTTCCCTGGAAAATGCACTCTTTTAAGCAGATTTCACTAAAGCAATCCTCCTAATCCTATTGAAAATTATTGTCTTTTTGCAAAACTTTTTTACAGCAGATAAAAACAACAATTTCGCCGTGGTCTTGAAAAATACCAGGTTGACAGTTACTTTTAAATTTAGATTCCTCTCTCCATCTTAGCATGCCTTATGAATGTTAAGAAAAATCTGGAGCTCATAGTGTTTGCAGTTGACGCTTCTACTGAGAAACTTTAGGAGAAATGGACACGAGGCACAATTTTACCTAAGATTGCTTGATCCTTTATTGATTTTATGACAGGAAGGTCTCTGAAATACCTAAAGCGTTTCTTCCACCGAGCGGATTTTACCTGAAATTTCCTATTGAGATACTATTAGGGTGGGTGTGACAACCCCCCAGTCTCGACGCCCCTGAGCAGTACCTCCAATGAAGGGGCACCGATATAGAGCATTTTTCCAAAGGCAAGCAAGCATATAGAGCAAGCAATAGAGCATTTTTCCAAAATCGTTTGTTGTGGGTGCTAAATTCTCCCTTTCAAAATTCCCCCTCCCCGCCCCCACTTTCCAACCTGTGTCGGAGTCCACGAGATTTTATCGGAAATTTGTGCCTTGTAAGAAACTTAATGCGCAAATATTGCCTATTGTTGAATACTTCTTCCTATCTATGTTGGAAGAAGTTAATCGACGGTTTTCTCTAAACCATTTGTTTGTCGCGAGCTATGCGGTGAACAATGCTATTGAAAAATAGTTGATGAAAAAGGACAAGAAGTGCTTTTTGAAAAATTTATTACGCAAAATGTGCTCATGATCGAAATGTTTTCATTGGCAATAATAATTTCTTGAAACGAAAAGAGAATCCCTTAAGAAGAAAATTCATTAAAGACTTTATTTATGACAGCGTGATTTTGCTGTTGTTAGGGTAAATTTCCTTGAAACGGTCCAAAACATGATCCAAATCAAGCATCTCTGCACGTTTCGCATGAATTCTAAGCAGCAACAGGGATTTCAACCTAGAGGAGCACGATGGTATTGTGGGTCATGCGAAGGAGCACCATGAAATTAAGTCACAGCTTTCACGGAAGCGACAGGATATAATGCCACTATGATAGTAAAATTGCCGAAGAAAAGCCATTGAGAAAACCATAAACCAGCCAGTGCAGTTTTCTCCTCGATTATTTATGTCATTCAAACATCATGTAAACCGGGTGACATCCATCAAGTGCCGACGGTATTGAGAAAGCAAAAATTGATTGGCTGCCGACGGGGGGCTATCAAAAATCTAGGGCCCCCTTGCCCCCCATGCCACCACTCCTGCTTCTTGCCAGAGTAAGCGACAACAATTCTACGATTATTAATTTAAAAACAATAGCTATTCAACACATCTTAGGATCTCTGACGGAGCTGAGTAACAGCGAAGCTAATGAGCCAGTTAAAATCCTTGTCTTTCGCATTCTAAGCTGTGCAAAGTTACCCATGCGTTTATTGAAAGTCGCCTCCGATACGGGAATGCTGCAAACGCTTCAGCATCTTTAGAAAAAGGCATCCTCAGTTATTTAAAATGCCAAACGAAGGGACCCTTTGACCAGTGATTGCCTAAGCGTTGGTCAGATCAACGCTTTTGATCGATCTGTTAAGCCTGGTTCTGGTTCACACGTGTGAAGCAAGAGCTGAAGCAGAAGCAAGTGGTGTGTGAACACACACGAAGCAAGTGAAGCAAACATGAAGCATGAAGCATGCGGTGACGCAAGAATACAAAAAAGATTTTGATAATCCTGCTTCACTACTGCATCTGCTTCACCTTTGCGTCATGCTTGCTCAATAAATTTTTTAGTGTGAGCGTCGTACGCAGCACGTACACTTTGAAACGAGTCACGTGGTAAAATATCATTTGCATTAAACAAATATAACGTGTTGGAAGAAAAACTTGCAGAAGCTACAAAAAAATACCTTGTTCTTAACGAAAGTCCGACAAGAATTTTAGGGATAAGAACAAAAAAACTACTTTTGAAAGTATGAGCTGCTTTCCCGCCGGCTCAGTCAGTTGATCAAACATATATCATGTGAGTTCGGCAAAAACTCTGAGAAAGGGTGGTCTGAAAGCTAGAATTCTAGGAATAAGAATCTTGACAATAGAGTTACCTTTTTTACTCAGTCAGAGTAACCACAAAGAAGGTAGGAATTTACTGATATGATGTCACAGCTTTTTTGGTAAATCAATGGCTATTGAAGTACCACGAATTTTGAAGTAGCATCTAGTCCTGTTTATAGTTCTAATCCTAGATGGGAAATTAAGAAAAGATAAGAAATCTTTGCTAGTTTGTACTCATTGCAAGGTATAATTCGGAATTTGACAACTTTTCCATATCTTTATAAAAAACATCGAACACAGTGTTGTGAAGTAAGCAATATATGTTGCATTTAGAGTTTTACAGCTTCCTTATTTTGTTAGTTTATTTAAAAAAGCATAAGGGATCGTTGTTAAAGTGAAATTCAGTAAAATTCAGCTCTTTAATATGCCTTTTGACATAGGTTTAAGAAATAGAATGGTTCTTACATGAAATGGTTTAAAAAATACTTGCTCAAGCTTGAATATTCTCAGTGAATATGGTTACAAAGTCTGAGAAAAGAGTACACTTTTCGCAACCCAGAATCAGAGATTAGGGTCCAGTTTCTCTATATCAACACACATGGTGTACATTGGACCAACCGACTGAGCCCGCCGGGGCTGTTTTCGTTTGTAGCTGCTTTCGTCTACGTATTCTACGTTCTAGTATCGAGTATCTTAATGAAAGTAAAACTTTTGCATCCAATTTTGTTTATATCACAGACCACATAATTGTTTATGTATGATTCGTCTGAAGCCGATCAAGGAAGCCTATACTTTTACATCAGATTTGATTAATTTGCTTGCGCGTGTGTGAACGGCTTATCTCACATTTTGCTTCATTCCTTGCTTCATTCAAAAAGTTCTAACTGCGCATGCCTACTTCACTTGCTTCCGCTCTTGCTTCACACGTGTGAACCAGGCTTCAGCCAATAGGCAGTACCCGCGAGAGCCTTTGGAAAAAGTACAATCAGAGGAATAAAATTTAGCCTGAGATCAGTCTCGGATGGAAAAATAGCCTCCTCCGCCTCGAGAGCCTGATCTCAGGCTAAATAAAATTTCTAGTTATAATACAAGAAACAAAAGAAATCTCGACATTCCTAAACTTAAGCTTGAGTGTACACGAAGAGACTCCACCTTTATGGCCTTAAAGGTTGGTATGAAATATCTACCGAATTAAAGGCGATCCCTGCCAAGTAGAGTCACATAGCAAAAAATCACATGACACAAATTAATGGATTAATCGCCTTATTAATGTTAACTTTCGTGTGAATGCTTCGAGATATTATGCACATATTTCATTACTGAACAGACTGTCTCTTCTTTGGCTTCTCAACAATTCCCTTGCTCTACTAGCTTAAACGAAGATTAAAAAAGACATTTGAAGAGCTCAGTAAACCCTAAAAAAACACGATCAGGGCTCATGCCACCGATTCTGAAGTAGGGAGGGGGGCAAAAAGAGGGTTTACCTATTTAATACCTAAAAGGGTGATTTTATACCTATAGTTAGCAAGAAAAGTGGCGGGCATGGCCCATCCACCCCCTCCCCTATGGCGCGGGCCCTCAGGGCCGTATTTAAGCCTGTTGGGGCCCTGGGCCCAAAGTTGATTGGGGTCCCTTCAAATATGCCAACAATTTGTGTCACGTGCACAGTACTTGGCTAAACATAATAAAACATTATCTTCGAGCTATAAGACACTAAGTGCAGTCATTGTATTGGGGGAAGCTCCAACCAGGACAAGCGGAAGTTTCAAAAGTCCTGGGGTAAAAACAAAATATGAGGCCCCCTGCGAGCAAAGCGAGCTGGAAATTCTTGTGACCACACCCTTTATTCCATTCTTAAAATGGAATTCGTTCCATCACGAGGCCCTTAGCTCCATTCAAATTCAAGATTGAAACCAAGAGCACTTAAAAGGCTTTTAAAATTTTGCACAGGGCCCGTCGAAGAATTTTAGGGGACCCCTGGGCCCGGGCCCAGTGGGCCCATGGGTAAATGCGTCACTGCGGGCCCTGCAACTCCCAAGAAGATCATACGTTTGCTTGTTTCCTAGTTTTAAACAAATTTTTAAATTGTGTCTTGCATTATCAGCTTTTTATTTATTTATACCTTGTACTTTAATTTCTGATTGGATATCGTGTAAAAATATGAATTCAATGAAGAAATTTAAAAAGGTCACAAAATGCTTGGTTTTCAATTCAATTTATGGCAAATTTTGACATTAAAATTCAATATTTTGTTCGCAAACGCAAGGGACAGAATGGAAACACTAAACGAGGTATAGAGCAGAAACGAGGTAATCACATGATGTCTACTTTGCTATCTTGACACATCCGTCACCG